TGATAGTTTTGAACTCTTTATCAGAAATTATATCATTCTTTCAATCTCTTCTAGCAGTAGTCAATTATTTTCTTTTAGATATGATATTCTCATTTCATCAAGATTTTAAATACTCAGAAGACTTTCTCTTTGAAATATTATCTTTAATACTTACTAGAATAATAGATGTAATGAGCTTCACTCTATTCTTAAGCATTTCATTTGAGATATCTTGTTAGATACTCATAGATCTATTAATTAGCTGTCATAATCTCACTCTATATTAAGAACTAATTATAGACTTAATAACTGCAGTTCTCTCTGTTAGTATTAGAGCTTAACAGTGAGCTTACAGACTCTAGTCTATCAGAGTACTCTATCTAGAGTCTAGATATATATCTAGATCTGCTAGTCAGATAATTTTCAAAATTATTCTCTGTATTTAAGAGAGAGCTAGGCTTCAATGACAGCTCTAGTTAGAGACTTACTTAAGTAGTATATAATCACTATATTAGACTTAACTCTATATCATTAGAACCTTGACAGATGTATAGTAAAATAATAAGATATTAATATTCTATATCAGCTCTGATAAGTGTTTACAGAATCTTACTTAACTAGTAACTTGACTTATAGTAGAGAGTTCTACTCTGTATCAAGCCTTATTAATTAAACTCAGCCTCTATTACATAAGAGCTTTCATGAGTAAGAAGTGACAGATGTCAGTAATGAGATTTGAACTCACATATCTCTAATATGTGTAGTCTTAATTATCAGTCTTATTAACTGAGTTATACTAGTATTTCTATCTCATTCTTCTGCAGCAGTTAATGTAAAAAAAAGATCTTAGAATTAGTTTTTTACTTCTCTTAAAAAAGTAAGATGTTTTTCTCTGAGTTTTACACAATATTCTTACAAAGAATTAAAAACAGAGTTATTTTCTATTATAATTTCACATTCTTTTAAGTAAGAATTACTTTTTCAGTAACTGAAGAGCTTTTATTAATACTTAATTCTTTTTTACACTCTTTATTAACTGATTTGAGTTGCACACTTATTGTGTGAGAAGAATTGAATGATTTAGAATAAAATTGAATAGTTTTAATTAATTTCTCTGTAAAAAATTAACTTATTTTTTATCAGTTTTTCTCTTAAAAACTGTTATATTATCTGATTTATTATCAATTGATATTATACTTTTTCTTACTGTATCTTAAGAAAGAGATTGTAAAGATTTTATTAATTTATCTTAAAAATCAATTTTAATTTATAAAATTCTCTTTAAAAATCTAATCTAGTTACTTAACTAGTGTGAAAAAATCAGGTATTTTATATATAAAAGTCTTTCATTCTTCTTTTGAAATAGTCTGATTAACTTCTCAATTGAAAATAGCCTGATAAATCTCTCAATTGAAACAGTCTAATCAACTTTTCATTGAGTAAGTAAAATGAGTTCAAAAATAAACTCAGTTAATGTGAAAAAAGATGCTTTCTCAGATGCTATTTCTGAGATTGAAATTCTGAAGAGAAGAAAGAAAGTGAAAATAGAGAAATAACAAGTTCTTGAAATATAAGAATGTGAAAAAGTCAGTAAAATTCTTGAAAAACAGTATCTGATTGAGATGAATGAAGAAGTTCTCTTAATTCTTCATACTTAGACTAGATAACTACAGAAGATAATTAAGTTCAAACTTGAAATTTTAAATACAGTTTAAAAAACATTGAAAATTTCTAGTATAGTTACTAACTCTTCTTCTTCTTTTTCTTCTTTAAATCAGAAAAAAAAATACACTCAAGTAGCAGAATCTGCTGTTTCTAAACCTGCTGTCTTAAAATCTGCTCAAAATTCTGAAAATACTTAGAAGAAAAATGCTCATACTTCTCTTCGTAAGAAAGAAAAAATTCTGCAATTTATAAAAGGTTTTTATATTCTAAATTTTCTAATTTTATATATCTGAAATTGATAAATGTATAATAATTAGCTTTACAGATACTAGAAAAACCCTGAGAACTAAAAGTTTTCAGATAGATGTCATAGTCTCTGACTGTATACATCTATAATGAAATAATAATAATAATAATAATAACTACTTCTTTAGTAGTTTATTCATTTTTACTGATTCTTTTATTTCTATCTTATCTTCTAATTCTTGTCAGTCTTCTGTGAAATTGTCAGCAGATGACACTCTTAATCTTGTATGTAGATCTCATTTCCTAGTTATACAGCTGCTCTGCTGGATTGCAAATGTCTACTCAGGCAGAGACTCAGAGTGGTGGCTAAGGGGGATGTTGAATTGCCTCCCTTGCAGGCCAACTGCTTCCGCCTCACGCTTGCTGATCGGCCATCGCAAGCTCCCTATAAAAGGCCACGTAGCAGCTAGCTTCTCATAATAACAACCAACTACTCTAAGAACATCTCCATCATTACAGTTGCACAGTGATATTACAGGGTGCACTCACTAGAGAGAGTGAGTGCGCTTGGCAGGGTTACCTTTTAGTTTGTTTCTCATTTTACACCTACAGAAAAACGAATAAAAACAGGGAAAAAAAGATAGAACAAAACAAACATAGCTATTGATGGCGGATGGTAGGAAAGCAAACTGGAAAGAAAAAGTGAAAAAGAGCTGAAGGAAACGTTAGAGGAGGAAAAAGAAGAAAATGAAGGGCGTGTTAAAAACAATCCAGTGAAATAATTAAGGATATAATAAATAAGTAAGACTTGCTGAAGGACATTACGGGGAAAATTGAAACTTTGCTCGCCATATATTTTGTGTCGCTAGCTCGGGCTCCTTCCGTTCCGTCTTTCCTTCTACTCTTCTGTAAAAATATTACGAGCAAAAATTGGTTAAGGAAAAATGTGTCGGACCAAAGCACAGTCATCGCCAGAGCCGGGGGAAAAGAAGAGAGGTGGAGTAGCTCCAGCGAGGGCAAGTGACAAAAAGTAAAGCGGAATAAAGTGGAAAAGGCAGAGGAAAAGGAAGGAAATGAAATGAATACACACACATAAGAAAAGAGTTATAAAGGGATATCGGTAAGGAGACTTGCGGTAAAAGTATGGCCTGGAGATGGAAGAAGAAAAGGAGAAGTTGCGTGCTTGGGTTCTAGAAAAGGCCCAATTGCTCGTCGCTCGGGTGTAGTCAACGAGTACTTGCATCCAACGAGGAAGGCGATACAAGGTGGGTAATAGAAATTCCTCCGACAAAAGGCTGAGTTAGGTGGCTACCTGGGCAATAATCGCCATTGAAAAGGCTTTAGTTATAGCCGTTCATGGTCATTCTTTGAGAGTTCCTGCTCAATTCCCGGTCTGCGGAGGGGCTAATGGGTCGGCTGCCACCTGAATGCGCCGTGGCGCTGCTCTCCTTCAATGCCAGCAGCTGTTTCGCGCGGAAGGTCTCGTAGTGGATCTGGCTGGTGGTCTCGATTAGGTCCTGGAGGTGGGTGCGCGTGAGGAAATTGCGGAGGTAGACAAATTCGCAATGGTTCTCGTCTTCGACGTTTATCACGCCCCAGCGGTTCTGGCGGCCGCGGACTTGCTTACCACCGACGATGATGGATTTTTCGCTTCCGACAACCGCGAAAGGGATGATGTCCTGCACGTTGTGTTAGATGGCGGGTTTTTCTTTGAGTAAAATGTAAGTAGATTTACCTTGATTTGAGCGTTAACAGCTCGCTCCTCGTCATCCAATTCATCGTTATCATAGGGGTACATCTTGAGATTGTGGAAGGCAAACTCCTCCTTGATTCTCTCCTTGAAAGCCAATCGCTCTTCTAGGGTCAAAGAGTCGGATTTGGCAATGACAGGCACAACATTGACAACATCGGAAAGTTTCTTCAGGACGACGATATCAATTGGTTTCAGGCTGATTTTACTGTTAGTATTGCTGTGCTGAAAAGGCATTGAGAAATAGCTACGTACGCATGTCCAGAGGGCTGGATAAAGAAGAGGCAGCAATGGATACGTGTATCCTGAATATAGCGCTCACGCTGAGCAGTAAGCTCCTTTCTGAGATAGGCGGAGTGCTGATCCTTGATATACTTGACAATTGGGTCCCAGCTGCAGAGATATCAATCAGCAAGTAATTCGCAACATTATTCGTCCCATGTTTCGCGTGCTTCGCATACCATCTATCATTGTTGACCTGGTCCCCATAGCCGGGGGTGTCGACAATGTTCAATCGTAGACGCACGCCGTTCTCTTCAATTACTGTTGGGGGAGAGATAGAATAAGTATTTACATATTTATTTATATAAGATTTTTGTGCTTGGAGAGGGGAGAACGTACTATGGGAGACAGCTTGAATTTCGGTGGTTGAACGCACAGGCTCATCTGGTCTCAAGCGACCCTTGGAATCGATCAGGTGGGAGGCGAAGATGGTATTGATCAAGGTCGATTTGCCCAGTCCGGTTTGGCCTAAAGATATCGCCGATATTCAGTATTTAATGTCCATTATAAGGGTTGGAATTGAACTTTCTAGGCCGTGGCCAGCGCGAAACCCGGATTCATGTAGAGGGGGAGGGACAGTCTGAACAAAGGTATGGCACCGCACGTACCAACGCAGATGACGTTGAATTGAAAGCCACGCTTCAGTAGTTTCCGCTCGATCTGCGAGGTGATACTATCAAAACCAACATGGCTTCTGGGGAAGACGGTGTTCTGTGGAGAAGCTGGGGATTGTGGTGAAGCCATAATAAGAGCGAGGAGGAAGACAACAACAGCAGATCAAGAACAACACAGAGAGAGGTGTAGTAAAGAGGAGAATCAAAGAGTGAAGGAGAACGACAACAGCCGGGAAAAGATGAGCGGGAACAGCAACTGGGGGGGGGGTCGAAGAGGGAGCAGAAGCAGACAACAGGAGATAGAGAGAAGCAACAGCAGTAGTTAGGAACAACACGCCCCTTATTATTTTCTGGATTGTTTGAGCGTTGGTCAGGGGGAACCAGCGCTAGGCTGCTTTGGGACTAGCGAGTCACTGTAGCTCTTTCTCCTCCACTCGACTCGAGCCTCATTTTTGCTCAAACTATTTTATCTCAACCAATTCGGCCGGACAACCCATCACCACCACCCAATTTAGCTCTCCATCACGATATACGTCTCCTCCATAGGTTATTATACCGGCCCGCCCTCCGTGGACTTTATATACACGCCTGCGCTCCCCCTCCCCGGTCACCTTGGGGCCCCCAAACACACCACCGCAAGATGTCGTCCCTCCCAATAGCGTTCTCCTCCGCCTCGATGATCTCCCGGCTCTTTCCTCGACTCTCCCTCCAATTCCCACACACAACAAGCCAATTGCTACGATATACCCATACCCCGAACTCCTTCCTGGTAGCCGCTGTAGCCGCTCCCGCAGCCATCACCCTCGGAATTCCCGCGATCCTCTCTGATATCTGGGACTCGGTCCTGCGCGCCGTGCCCAAGAAGAAGACCTCCCATATGAAGAAGAGACATAGACAAATGGCCGGAAAGGCTTTGAAGGACCGCCTAGATCTGAATACCTGTTCGAGCTGTGGGCAGACTAAAAGGGCGCATTTGTTGTGTCCGACTTGCGTCAGCGGTGAGTTTTATTGGCTCCGTTGATATATACCTTGGATGAGTGTGCCTTTGACTAACGGGCTGGTGGCCCTGAAGAAATAAGACAGGAATGGAGAGATGCGGAAAAGAAGACGGCTCAAAGCTCGTGAATTTCTTTTTCTACGCTCTGTTGTATATCATGCTTTTTGGGAAGGTAAAATGCGCTGTACCATAACGCCCCGCGCAAAGGAATATATAAAGAGTGGGTTTTCTGTGGGCATAGCATTTGGCGTTTTGGATTTGATATCACGATACAATTGTATTGTTATTTTATATCTTTTTCTCTATCTATCTATTACTTTTCCAGCTACTCGCCTCGGTGTCTATAAACTCTTGGTAATATTGCAACGGAAAGCCAATCGACCATAGATTTCTAGATATTTAACTGTAAAGAAATATCACTACGTTTAAATTTGATGAAGGTGTAATGTAATATTAACAGTGATATAATAGCAAATACATACTTATCTTTTGTAATCGAAAAAAAGAAAAAAAAATCATTGTCGTACCTAGCGGATCCGAACCCCCCAACTAAATATCAGCAAAAACTCTCGAAGCCTCTCACTGACGTCTTTGGGTCAAACTTGGTATAGAACAACAATTCCACACCTCACAACAAGCAAAACCACACCACATCACCATGATAGAACACATCTCAAGCCCATAAACATGGTAGGCCATCCTCCAAAGTCTAATACATAAATCATTCAATCAAACATAAATCCCGTCTAATACACAGCGTGGGGGTAAAAAAATAGTCAAAGCAATATTTGACCCTACATACAATCGACAATGGTAAACCGCCCCCCCCATCCGCTCCTAAATATCAAAACCCAACATCAAGAAATACATTTATATATATATGTATAAAAGTATCCAGCTAAAAGAAGTACATCGACAGCTCACCCCGTCGAGATATTCTCTCTCGCCTTAACCCCGAGCCAACTGATATCCTGCTCGGGCGCATCTTCGCTCAAAGTCCACTCCACCGCCGAGACAGATTTCCCCCTAGCCCAGTCCATCGACGGCGCGCACAAGATTGGCTGCCACCACCTAGCTGCAAGCAGGGATGGCACAAGGCTTGTGAGCGTTGGGTTTGGAGGGGAGGTTAAGGTGTGGTCTTCCGTTGCGGGCGGGGTGTGGGTCGCGGATGAGGGGGTTGGTGGAGCGACTGGTGGGAAGGGCGGTATGTATTAAACCAGTCTAGCTTTTAATTTTATGCCTCCCCTTCTTTAGAGATGAATAGAAAGGCATTTGATTTGGGATTTGATACATATGGAACAGAGAATTCGGGCTAATTGTATATATGCAACGCAGACACCAAGCGGAAAGTCAGCGAGATATGGGCCGCCGCACTCTCTTCGGATGGTGAGTATCTCGCCGGCACGACGCTGGATGGACATATTAAAGTCTGGCACCTGGATGGGACCGGGGAGGATAGTAAGGTGTCTCAGATCCGCGACCTGGAGACGAAGGGTAGCTTTGGCATGTGTATTGACCTGGTGCGTTTTAAAAGTTCTGGAATTATATTTGACGGCGATGACCGTCTACGTTTTGCATTCCTCTCCCTCTCCCTACTCTGTCCTCTCCGTATATATCCCCAGATCCCCGTCGAGGTTATAACGCTCACACGTTTTTGTCGTCAATGGCATCCCCATCTCTAGTCGGCAGACGGCAGCCTGACAGCATCCGGCCACCAAAATGGGAACGTCTATATCTTCCTCAATGAGACGGGGCGGATGATACATTCTCTGTCCGGTACGTGAAATAGAAACCCCTTTTCTACCTATTTGATGAGTTAACCATGACATACCTCCCTCTTCCCTTATCACTAAAAGAAACGAAAGAAAGCTAGCTAACAAGATTTGCGAACAATACAGGCCTAGTCTTACCTGTGCGAGCCGTAACTTTCTCGCCGGGAGGAAAACTGCTTGCAGCAGCGGGCGACTCCAGAGTAATTCAGCTCTATGAAACGTCCTCTGGCGAGCAGGTAGCTACATTAACGGGGCATACGTCCTGGATTACCTCTCTGGACTGGAGTCATACCGGAGAATTTCTTTTGAGCTCGTAGGTTCCTTACCTCCTTTCTTTGTTATCTAGGACGTTCCACCCCACTATCCTTTGCTATTTTATAGCTATCAGATTGTCATCCTACTCCAGACACATCCTGCTCTCATTATTGTTAACCTTAACACTTTGAACTGGCAGATCCCTCGATGGCAAGGTTAAAGTGTGGTCGATTGAACGGAGGGCGTGTGTGGCGACGCACTCTGAGTCGGATGTGGCTATATGGAGTGCGAAGTGGTTGCCAAAAGTTGGAGCGACGGCTGAGAAGTTTGTCACGGCGAATGCTAAGGGGCGTATCACTTTTTATCGGGAGGCTACAGGGGGATGAGAATGAAAAATATAAATGGAAGGGACGGGATGAAGGGTATCTCGTACGAGATGAGGGGGTGGAGATTCATCGAGTACGACGTGGATATTAAAATGCTGCTCCGGTTTGGAGGTGAGGCGACAGAATAAGAATTAATAGGGGGAATTGTTCAGTCCTTGGTCATGTTTTAATGAGACACAACAAATATATAGACATGCAAAGGGGAAGAAGCCCCGAGTCGTTAATAATAAACGAAATATAGTCATTAACCATTCCCTCAAACACCCATCCAACAATAATCATCAAAGAATAAAGAAGACAAACATGCCCAATGTACAGAATCCCCTCACTTCAAAGCCGCCACAAACAACCTCCTCATCCTCTTCAAAAAAGCCCCAAAATCCCTATCATCGTTCACAACCATCAACTCCTGCTCCACCGCCTCCCTCTCTAGCTTCGGCCGGCAATGGAAAACTTCATAATCCCTACTCGCCGTCCCCAGCTCAAACCACGCCTCCCGCTCCCAATCCTTCTCCACTAAATGCGTGTAGACAATCCGAAGCCGATCCTCGCGCCCAGCCCCTTCAATACGCAGACACAGGTAATCCTGCCAGAACTCCAGCTCGGGCGTATTCAGGCGCGCCTGGGCATCGAGGTTTCTGGCGTGCGCCTTCTGGGCTTCCAGGCGCTGGTTGATGGTCTTTTGGGTCTCGTCTATTTGTTGCTTGAAGCGGTCGCGGGTGGCGAGGCGGGCGTCGCGTTGGGCGGTGATAGCAGTGATGGCTTCGTGCATCTCGGCAGCTTCTGCGGCTTCCTTTTGTAAGGTCTGCGCGTGGGTTTGGGATTTGAGGTCGAGGATTTCGATATCTTTTTGTTTTAGGCGGCGGTCCTCTGTAAATATAGGAATAATGGGTCATAGTATTAGTATTATTACTTTTTAATTTTAATTTTTGTTACAGTGAGAGAATCGCAAAATAGAATTAAAAGACTTATTTATATTCCTGAAAATAAAAATTGAAAGGCTTGGAAGTTTGGATGTGTCAAATAACCCAAACATGAAATCATACCTTGCAGCTCAGCTAGGTTCACGCGGAATTGATTTCTCTCCTCAAGAACTTGCTTCCTGCCCCTTTCTATAAAGCTGTCGAACTTGGCCGTGAACTGTGCCATGCGGGTGCGTAGATCCTCGAAGCCGAAGTTGATGCTGGGTAGCTGGTCCGCCATTGACGGGGCATCTGCCGACGATAGCGGCGGGCGCATGCCACTTGTAGATAGTGATGGTTCGAAGGGCATCGACATTGTTGCAGATAGCCTTGCGACGTATGTGTGATATGACAATAGTGCTTGCGAGTTGGCGTTGAGCGAGGTGTATATCTATATCGAATGGGAGGGTTCACTTTTCGCGTTCATGACGATTTGCCGGAGTGGTTGCGGCAGCAACGGGCGACCGACGCTAACTCAATCGGGCGGTTAGCTCGGCCTGCGCAAAAAACGTCCATTTAATTTATTGTTTTTTCTTGCGTCTGACATCTACCAATTTTCTACTCCGTACACACTCGCGCGGGATTGCGTCTGATGTCCTGATGCACCTTACATTAACGAGCTTGTCAAAAAGCTTTAATTGCGGACTGATCTAATTGGCCCGATATGATGTCCCGCATACCAGAAGCCCACGTTAGATGCAAACCAAATGGGTGACCATCGAACAAACACCCTGCAATACGGGCATTTGGGCAGTGCTACTTATCTACCCGATATACAAGTATGGGAATTTTCACGCAAGATCGATAAAGGTAAATCCAATAGCCATTTTCATTTTCGTATATGCCTACTTTCATTATGGCTAATATGTTACTTCTGCAAACACAATAGAGCCTTCTCTCGTGTTCTACGGCCATGTTAAATGCGCCTTCCCAGCTCCAGCAACACCCGGCGCTCGGATTGAAATCCAGGATAGCGACAGGCTGTTAACTAACAAAGATGAAGATGCTTTGCTGAAAGTTAGGCCGGAGCTGGCTCCGGGTTTGGGCCTCCTTCGCCGACATGAGGCTTCATCTCGGGCTATCACCGCTGCAGTGGCCAAGTTTGACCCTCAAGTTTCCAACCTCCTGGCCATTGGGAATGCGATCAACCTTGACCGACGTGGCGGCAGAGGTGATTCCACTGTTCCAATAGCAGTTCTTGTCTGTGGTGACTCCGCTGCGTCTATTCAGCTTGTGGAATTGGATGATGAGGGAATCGCATGGCCCCCGGACAGTGATGGCCTGGTGAAAGTCCCTACTCTCCACAGCCGGCAGAAGGCACTGTGGATGGGGACTGCTGGGCCTGTGCAACAAATATGTTTTGCGGAAACTGTGGATGAAAAGAGTACATGGTTGGCCGTGCGATTTTTACAGTCCAGTATTGTCTTCCGCCCTCAGCGGAACAAGCTTCCAATTTCTGTCCACTATGACGATATGGATTTCATGCGAGAAAACCTAGAAGATACTCGTTTAGATGCTAACCCGGTTCTGGAAATTCCCATCTCCAGCACCGGTGGAGTCCCGCATGCTGACATCACATTTAATCCATGGTATCAACAACAGATAGCGGTTGTCGATCGCTTGGGGAATTGGACTATTTGGGATATAGGGAAGCAACGCCAGAGCACTTATTGGCACGCAGACCCCGGTCCATCTGGTAGGTTGGACGGTGAACGCACCAAAAGAGATCATTACGATGGATGGGCTGCGATTTCATGGGTGGGAAATGTTCATAAGTTGCTGGTCTGCGATAGGCGGAATATTGCTTTGTATCGAATAGAGACTGATCCCATGCAGCACTACGCCGTTGACGTTAACATTCAGCAGGAGTCTGAGTGGATTCTGGACATTAAAAGGAGCCAGTCGAATCTTTCAAATATATTTGTTCTCACAACGACGCAAATACTTTGGCTACATGTTAATTCCGATGATTTCTCATCGTCCAGCCAGCGAGGAGATGGCCAGGAAATAACCGTTCTACTCTCTTGGCGCCATTTCAGGGACCCAGAAGATACCAGCCTTCAATTGGCTCCAGTGCTGATCCAAAATTGTACTACTTTTCACCTCCCTTAAGCATGGATTTATTTCTCTATCACTGGTGTGCTAATATTAGTTGTAGCTTTGTCCCTCATTATATACTCGCAACTGAACAATATGGCACAAGTCTTCCGTTTTGCTTTTTCTCCAGACGACCCATCGATTCCATTATCAGTCGCCGATCCGTTCTTCCTTCCGCTGCCTACTAGTAACAACCGTGATCCGAAAGCGCTGGAACCTTCGCCAGAGGGCGTTTACTTTTCGTCTTTGATTTTTCAGCAAATTGTAAACTCCATCGTTACCGACCCCACCAATGGCAGCAAAACCCTCACCCTCGTCAAATTTATTGGCCAGCACTCTAATTTGGAAGTTATTGAGTCCTTATACGTGGCGAAGGCGGATGGTGGGGATGAAACTTACGAGCAGTTTAGCTCGACTCCCCCACAGGTGAAAACGGAGAAAAGTTCAAAGTTGGTTGATGATGATGATGATTTCATAGTGGATGATTTGAATGCGGTAGTACTGCCACCGTACGCGGGGAGGAGATATTGGAATAGAAGTCGAAATAGCCGGGAACAACTAATACGTGCTTCTCCCTATGGTGAGAACTGGGTTGATCTGTATGAGTTGGCTTCCTCCGCTGTTACTGAGCAAATAGGAAACAGAGGGAGGTCAACCATGTCTGAGAAGGGATCCCAAACGTTCAACAATTGGTTGGAGGACTTGACTGCCAACTTTGAGGAATTAGTCTTGGGTGATTCAGCATTATCATCGAACTCCAGAACAATGTTCGTGTATATCCCCTCTTTGAATTAAGCGATATAATCCTAACCTTGCTCAAACACAGGCTTGATATCCTCCCATCCTCTCCATTTTTGGATGACATTGATCGAAGTACTCACGATTTTGATCGATTTGTGACGCGTCTGGAGGATCCTGTGCAAAATATGCTACCCCTTGGATACGAAATCACTCATCTACCGATGTCATATTACCCACCCTCGAACATCTCAATACCCGATACTGGTTCCCGCAGGATGATACCCACTAACATCACTAAACTCTACGACTCCCTTGTCCGCGACTGGCTCTTCCCTCTCCCGGGCGACTTCCCAAACAAGATCCGAATGGCCAAAGAAAAAAACATACGAAACATCGTCATGCAACTGATACTCTCAAGAATCGTTCTAACTAGACGTTCGATTCCCGAACCACACGATCCTGGTCTCTGTCTCTCCGAGACTGCCGAAGAAGACCTTTCTTCTTCCCATCCGTCCTCGTCGGCCCCGTGGCCCAGCCAAGCACCATTATTTACTCAATCGCAAAACCCTACAGTTACCACCACCTCCTCTGGTGGACAGAAGGAGCTGGAGCAATCTAGCTTCTTACAACCATCGTCTCAAAATACAACCGCAACCACAGCTACAACCATGACCCCATACGCAACCCTCCGCCTCTACACCTCCTTAAAACAACCCGACCAACCCCGCCTCCCTCGCCGCATTTCTGACATCCTCTCACACTGGAAACTCGGCACAAACCCCTCAGCCTACGACTGGCAAGCGACGGTCCGCACGCTCCGTGACGAAGAGGAGCAGGAGACCGAAAGCCAATCGGCCAGTCGACGGCGAAAAAGACGCGAGGCGAGGCGGTTACAGAGACGTCAGCAGCAGCAATCGCAACAGAGCTATCTACCGTCTTCATCTGCTACTGCTACTGCTCCTGCTTCTACCCCCACTCTTGCTTCTGTTTCTTCTATTCCTACCCCTTCAGCTTCGCAGGTGCCGGTTGTGCGGATGTGGGGGAGTCAGCAACAGCAGCAGTCGAGCCGGGGGATGGGTCAAGGGTCATTTTTGGGACCGGGGACGGACAGGGGCGCGGTTACGAGCTCACAGATGATGGTATGGAGTAGCCAAGTTACGGAGGAAGCGGATGTGCCGATGACACAGGTTGAGAGTGGGGTGTTTGCGGGTAGAAACGCGAGTAGTAGGAGGGTTGCGAAGGAGAGGAAGAAGAAGAGGGCGGCCGGGTTTTAAGTCGGAAGCAGGATCTTTCATGGGTTAGTTACATTGGACGATTTTTTTTCTTTTTTTTCTTAAGGATCGGCGATTGTCGACCCCCTATTTGAGAGTGGTGTGAATTGCACACTTTTTTTCTTTTTCTCACCCTTGTCGTAGTTAATTACTATGTTGAATCCGCTTTATCGTTAACGATATAAACGTGCACAGTTAATCATTTCGTTAATCATTTCTAACCTATATGTATAAAAAACCCCATCCAAGAATATTTGCAAGTTGTCTTATTTCCACCTCTCGACTCATCACCGTATTAATCAACCCGGGAGAATCCGTAGGCAGCCAGAGGCTAACGTGCCTAAAAGCAAGAACGCACCCAAGCAAGAAACAACCAGCAAGGAATACAAAGTAATGTAAAATCAATATAACCAATGCGGAAAAATAATATCAACAGGGAAAAACCCGCATGAATGTAAATACATAATGAAAGCCCTTCCTACCCGGGCATTTCCCCGCTTCCCAACCTCTCTCCATCCGCCCCCGCCTCCACCCCGCCGCCGGGCGTGGCTATCCCACCAACTCTCCTGTCCCAATCCGTTCCACCCGCCCACTCACCCACTCGCTCCTTTCTGGGGAAGTAAAGTCCTCGCAAAAATCACTTTAGGTCTCGGAACAAGGATTGTACGGCGCATATATAGGTGTGTGCGCGGGCGCTTTCGGCCGTGGGAGCGAGGACTTCCGGCGACAGGCCGTAAAGGATGGTAGTAATTATAACGATAATGATCTTGAGAATACAGCTCTGTTGTACTATATATCCAAGGCTAGAAGCTATGCCATAAATTTATGCATGCATATGTAAGTAGTGAATATATGCATGGTTAGTGTGGGCCATGCATGTAAGTTATTGTATTTGACGTTTTCCCTTTGACCTGAAAGGGAAACGACGACTCCGTGAATTGGTCTTATATATATATATATATGGATATAAGTTATCCAAAACCTGAACGGGACAATGGCCGAATTGATGCTATTGGCAGGTAAAGGAGGTGGTTTGATGTGGGGAGAAAATGGAGTGCGATATCTGTCACTGCAGAGCGAATTCTACCGTTCGTTCTCGTCGATCGTAAACAGCAGTTCCAAGTAATAAAACTACCCAGCCAAGTTGTGGTTTTCGGTTTTCTCTTTCAGCCGTAGAAAAAAAAAAAAAAAAAAAAAAAAAAAAAACCCAAGTCAGGTGAGTTCTCCCGGTCGCATTCATTTAGCGATGGCCGAATATGTCTATTTCATCAATGTCGCTTTCATCCTCCTCGTCTGTATCCTCTTGATGTTCGTCATCATCAGAGGCATCCGAGCCATCGATGCTTTCACTTTCATCTTCCAGTATTACCACTTCGTCATCGTCCTTTCCATCCCCAAATATCCCGAACGTAGGCCTGAAAGCTTTACTACCCCAAAAGTCGATGTCATCGTTATCGTTATTGGTTGCTGTGTTCTTATTCTCATCACTACGAGGATTCGAAATCGACCATACCGAATCGCTCCGGCGATGAAGGCCGAAATAATTCCCGATCACTGCAGGGACAGTTCGTGGAGGTATAGTGGAAAAGGATCGACGATAGCTTGCTGTTTGGTCCGCAGGCTGAGGGGTCCCAAGGCTGGGATTGGGATCGTTTGCCGGGACTGACCTTGACATAGTTGACAGCAGAGTACTTTCGGCCAGTGCTTGGGTGTCAGAGCTTTGCGGCAATCTGGTCAAGCGAATTGGTATGGAAATGTTACGGGATATGTCCCGGGCTCCATTGGTTTCATGACTGTGGGTGTTCTGATCATTGTGATCGCCAGCAGTGAGGAGACGTATCTGCATTGTGTTGTACGAGTAACATCTGCGACAATAGTCAGCAAAATAAGTTAATGAACAGTATATAAAAGGATATTGGCGTACATTTCGCATTTCAAACCCAACCAGTGGTAGTGAACAGCAGATTTCGCGGAACAGTCGTTGCAAGATATAAGAGCTCTTGTATCCCTAAAGTCCGGTGGCATTGGCTGGTCATTGATTGTACGATCTAGGCTTCTGAAGTGTGCCTCCATATTTGCAATAGTCTTGCTGCAAATAGGACATCGATAGGACGTTTTTGAGTATTGGGAAAAGCATTTCTGATGGATGCTATGGCCGCACTTCATGAATATGACAGTCTCTGGAGAGGTGAACATATATTCACCACAGATTGGACAGTCACACTGCGTTGATCTTTCGATACATCTATGGGTCTGCTGGATAGAGATAGGTATGCAGACAGAGCACGTCTAATAGGCCGTCAGTTAATTCTCAAACTTATCCAAATGAGAACAAGACATACCTTGCAGTGATAGTAATCCTTGCCAATACCTTGACCAATACGACAAATCCCGCAGTCATTGCAGTGGTAAATGCTTTTCTGGCTGTCGTTGTCCCAGAGCTTGCAAACCGAGCAGTAGTAACAAGCGGCCTGGACACCGCACGATTTACACCATTGCGCGACCGGTTGCGGAGTGCTACAAACCATGCAGAGCATGTTTTGAGTCGCTCTTCGAATTAAAACGTGATCTTCTGCTTGGTCGTGGCAAAATCTGCAAGGGTACCAGCACTTGCATGTGAAGCATTGAAGCTTTACTCTCCTCTTGTAATGTTGACAACCCAGTTGGAGATTATCCTCTTCCACTGCGTCGTCATTCGCGATTTCTTTCGGAAACGAAATGATGCTCTCAGCAGTAAGATCAGATGATGACTCATGTCGAGGTGCATAGCTAGGTCGTAGATCATCATCAGTGAGATGATAGGACAACTCGAGTGAAGCAGCAGACGTGACCGAGGTAGGAGTCGCGGTAAAGTGCCCTGAAGATCGTTTGCCATGCGAAACAGGAGTCCACGGCCGCTCTTGATCGCGAGAGCTTCCAGGCGAACGTGACTGGCCATACCTTTTGTTCAGAGATGAATTATAATTCTCCGTCATAAGGGCATGAATCAACCTGGCCTTTTCCGCATTAGAAACCTTTGCATCCCGAATATTGTGTATCCTTTCTCTCAAGGACTGCATTCCATCATCCTCCGGCAATGTTGATATGGCTTTCCCATTCCAGTTGAAATCGTTGACAACATATGGGTCACTCTGGCCGCCGCTCCTTTCGTCGAGATCTCTAGTTCGTTCCCTATCTTCTCTCCTAAGGTTCAACAGGGAATTGGACGAAGAATCCATAAGAACAGGCCCTGACCTTGGAGTTGGAGTTTGCCTGGCTCTATTATTTGAGTCCGCGGAATGCCGCCCAGCGGTACCGTCCATGTCTTCTAGGACCGCAGCATGCGATTCTACCGGAAAATGGAGAAGTGAGGGCGATAGCTGGCTCACACCAATCTCGGAACGAAGATCCGCGTAGGCGTTTTCATGATGAGGGGTAGTCGAGGAATGCGATACGTCCTCCGAGATAGCAATGGAAACCTCATTTTGGCTGGGTATGTGGCTTCCCTCAATCGAGCGATTAGGATCGGCCATGTCAGCACCAACTATCCCACCTCTAAGTTCCTCCGTTTCTGGGCCAGTTTGCTGGGTTTCTGGCCCCGCATCTGTAGGATCTGAGAGCGATCCTTGTAGTTGGCGGGCTCTCCGGAGCAGTGATTCGGACAAGTAAGAGGAAAAATAGCTGCTCATTAAGCAGAACGGCAAATAAAAGACACGCAGAGCAGTGTATTTATTATATAAGTATGTATATATCTCCAATTCTTCACATTTCCAGTCCAGTTGTGGATGTTGAGGTTGTGTGCTGGAGAGGAGGAAGGTGTAGGGCAAAAGTTGCGGCTGACGTCTGACACCAAGCACCTGACATGTGCAGCTATCCATTCCAGGGTCCTAATTCGATGCAATGTACTCCGTACATGTACATACATTATTATATATAGCACACAAGATAAGAGCATTCTATAAATTTTAGGATTTACCTGGGCTTGGAATGCATTATTGTATTTGACGTGTTTATTTATTTTAATTCCCAGATTGGTTAGTCCATCTACGGAATTGGCTGGTAAATCTAGCTATAGGGTACGGTGCTACTTTTTGTCGCAACCGTCATGCTAGCAAAAGATAGAGAGAAAGGTATCTCTGTCGATGCACCTGCTAAAACTTGAGATTTTATTCATCCTTCATGTACTTGTGTCGTTAGACATCATACCCTTTTCAAATGCGCTCCAAATGCGCCTGACGCGCTGACATCGCGGCTTCCAATTCATTTCCATTGCAGATTTGAGGTGCAATTAGGTCTTTGGTAGCTTATTACAGAAATTGGATGGGCCGATGGGAGTAAATATCCAATTTATTTTCTCATTTAAGACATAGACCAAGGCTTTCATTAAGCATCTTCAAGGTCATCTCAAATGGCCTGTATGCGATAGCCCTCATTTGGGCACGTGCTCCGGTTTGGGTGCCAAAACTAGTGTGACTATTAGATATGGAGAAGGGGCAAATATCAACTCCTTCTGGGGAGAAACAAAATCTTACAACTTGGGGTCTCCCTCCGCAAGCTTATGTGGCTGCTGCCAGAATCTGACGTGCAGCAGATTTTTAACGATTTTGTGTTCAGTGCTCGTGGAGCTAGACGCAAGTCGAAGAAACTCAAGGGTGTTAACAACTCTCCGTGGATCGAACTCATTCGGCGTGCCATTTCGAAAAGATTTCCGAAGAGTCCAGAGGAGGACGTGACGTGCAGGGCTCGAATAGCGTACGGCTTGTAGGCCGGTCCGGTAGAGATGTCTATAAGCATGGAGGACGGCGACGTTAAGAGATTGGGCCTCGAGCGCAGCGACAGTAAGCAATATCTATGGCATAAAATGAGCACAATGTAGATAGTTAAAATATTTTTATAAAAGAAAGGGAGATATCGTTGGTATCGTACTAACTTTCGACATGGCCATGGCAGCAGTCGCAGGTGAATGCGTTCCAAACCAGTATCATTGCGGAAAGCAGCGGAGACGTTTATCTCAGGCCGAGAATAACATCAGCGGCACAGCGGTGGACCTCAATGAACTCGAAAAACGGTTATTTAATCCATCCAACTGCCTTGAGCTCCCTTCCTCGATACGGCCTTGTTGTACCGAAGAGAGCTCAAGCAATAACGAGTCCCGCCAAAAATTGCTCCCTGCGATGTTGGCGTGCCAAGATATTTTAATCCCACGCTATTCCTAATACAACCTAAATCACGGTTTGAAGTCACGTGATTTGCGGGACAGCAATCTTCCGGTTTAGGGCTCGCGTTAGCCCAACCTTGGAATCTTCCCAACCTCAACCTTCCGTCGTTCCCAGCCTCACACTCATCGCTCTGTCTCAACGCGACATCTGCCGTCGTTTCTGTCAACGACGGCGTCTTTACTGAGTTCAGAACATAGAATCTCTGCATGTCTATGATTATGCTAGATCTTATATCTGGATTTGTTGAGTCTCAGCGTTTGTTCATGCACAGTCCACACTGATGATCTAGGTTTCCCAAGTTTCTGTTTTTGTTCACAAATACTCTCGTGTGTTTCTGACACCGCCCATACCATTAGCGCTATAGTTGTGATGTGCACAGCTGTCGCAAGGAGTATGTGCTAGGCCACGAATTATAACCGGCACCGTGTGAATACCTTTCCTTGCGACAAATATGACGAGGGTCGTTGCTCGAGTCACGTCGGCGCAAGCCGCCATGCGGACTCGAAGCAGAGTCCTAAAACCCAAGAAACATAAAATTATTATGGAGAGCATTACCCAGGAAAAGAAGAAACTTCGCAGTGTTGTATGTGACTTGAGTTAGCAATATCGGACTTTTGAAAATGTCCTCTTTTAACACAGGACCACAGATTTCTTTCGAGGCCAAGGCTCCCCCTGGCTATACCTTTATACCTGCCGGCAACCCCAAGTTCACTAATGCATGCAAGGAGATGTGTCGGCAAGATGGGCTCCAAGTCTTTGCTGTTTCGGTTTGTTGGCTGTCCTCCGGCTTTTCTCGTTCCGGTTTGACTTTTGTGTTCTTTTCACTGACTGGTTGGGCTAGACAACACCTCATCAACGAATGCACGACCTTTCTCAACAAGTACATAGGATTGGTTATCACTTCCCTAGCGTCGTTGTGGCCACAATATGTATGGAACTGGGTCTATTTCTTTCGTCGACGGGGAAAGTTGTACCATACTCGTCCTCTCAATATCCTGTAAAGGGTCTTGGTCGGGAACGACGGGCTGATTCCGAGGTATCCCAAAATACAATCAATGTGGAGGCGAAGGATGCAATCAAGGATTTATTCCCTAGCATCCCGACGAAAGATTTGAACCGGATAATCAAAACGGCGTTCCAAAAGGTGTGTTAATTGCCACGCTGGGGTTCGTTGCTGACTCAATTTTTAGGGTAAACGCAAAGTCGGGACTGCCGTCGAATTGCCTCTCGCACGCCGTGTGCAATTAGCTGTTGTAGCTCATATTCGTCACGTCTATACTGACTACGATCGGCTACTCAGGATTACTTCCTTTCAAGATGCCAGGGCAGCAGTTGAAGAGCCAACTCTTGCCAAGCTTGTTCAATGGCGAGGTGATGATGAGAATGGCAAAACCGTTTTAGAAGATGTATTCCGAGAGGTTATCGTTATTTCCGATGACGAAGATGACGAAGATGATGAAGATGAGAGTGACCTTGCCGACGAGGGCTTCTCCAGAGAGGGTCGACAATCGAGCGTTGAGATCGTGTCGAGTAGTGCCCTAGCAGGAGAGCTTCAAACAAGGCCTATGAATTATGGACACCTTCCTTCTGGTGACCGTGAGGCCGCCCAGGATTTTTCTGAAGATGAAGCTCCCTCTGGGTTCAGGTTCATACCCCAGCTTTCGCGAAAGAAAAGGACTGCGGACAAAAAGAGAGCCGATCGTAGGGGCTTTAGCCGATATGAAGCCTGGGATCGAGCTCGAGACCGGTACAAGGCTGGCGAATATTTACCTAATACTACTAGGCCTGATGATTGTGTGGTCGAACGCTATTCAGTTCCTCCTACCATGCAGGACACCTTGCAGGAAACGACCAGCCTCAATAGCCACCACACACGACCACTTCTTGTCCATGTACCAATTCCCCCCGGAACGCGCACTGCACGGCCCAATGATTCTACTAACGAAGCACGCTTTAACCAACCTCTGAGCTCAACGGATCACCCACCATTGGATAGCCGCCCGTATTTTCTCGAACCGAATGTAAGTTAATTTGTCTAAGCTAACAATAAGACTAGTCCTCCTCTTCTCCCTATCTTTACTTAACCCTTGAAACTAACAGCAGCCAACCTACCATGGAACTAGAAATCTCGACCGGGACCACCTGATCGGATCCAGTTGGCTGATGGTGCTGTATTTGAGAGAGCCGACATCAACACATGGCCTGAACAGGAGAGAATAGTTCAACAACCGAAGCAGTTACCTCCTACGCTTGTATCCCCCAATTTACCAGAAACGCACACTGATGAAAGGAGATTCCGTATACCTACCGGAAATTTGCATCCCCCTTCCCGCCGTGGAAGGGATATCAGTGAGTATCAGGAGCAGCGCGTGCTCCCATCAATTGAAGGACCAGAGCTTCCTAGCCGTTTCAGAAACCAGGGAGTGGGACAACCGGACCTACTACCTCGAAAAAGGGTTCCAGATGACTTCCCACCGTACTACATGAAGCCAGCCAATCCTCCTATTGAGGAAGTCTCAGGCAAGATGAACGTAATTAACATTAACGAAGACAGACACATCTCACAAAAAAGACGAGTAGAATATAATACTATACGTGGGAGCTCTCCTATGGATAGAGGTCGAGACAGAGTTATTATATCCTTACCACAGGGGCCATACGATTCCCCAGCTTATCGTAAACCAGGCCTTTCGGATGTTTCATATTTTTACACGGAGCAGCAACAACTCTCATCAAATGAACGGAGTGAAGATCTGGGCCACCATCTTGAGCGAGTTCCACTTGGTACTAAAAGGCCTTTTGATCCTGTTCCCTCAAGTTCACACTTTTCTAGTGGTTTATCTGATCGTCCCGAACATGGACATCGATATGGAGCACCTGGTCTCCATGAGGCTCGTCACGGCCTTTCCAGCCGGAATCTTTTAGAATCTTCTCGCTTTGTTTCTGCATCTGATGAACCTAGTTTTAAGATGGTCAGGAATGACGGTCGACCCGTCAGACCTAACCATGTTCCCAGTTTCAATCATCCTCAACCTCAAATTTTTGACCATGAGGACTTTGTAAACCCAAGAGGTCCAAGTTCATTCAGGGATGCCAGCCGTCCAGTTTTTGTTACACAAGAACCGCCTATCAGGCGGAAGTTGCTTCCTGATGAAAATACTCGAATTTCCAGTCTTCACTCTCACGACTTTGTACGTCCTGTTAATTTGCAGGACGCAGATGGATCTATCAGCCATGAACCACAGGGGGGGCCAGCACGTCCAGCTAGCCCTCGTAAGACAAGATATGTACCCCGTGGTGCATTCAAGGCGTACGACCGAGTCCGAGCTGAATCTCAGGCGGATCGCCCGCATTCACCACAGCCCTTCACCTCCCGAGTAGCTCCAGTTCATGAGCCCAACGATACATTTTATATTGGTCCAAACTCCCCTCCCCGAACTGGCTGTTCAACTTTGAATCCTCCCCAACCTTCTTCGGTTTTATATGATTCGCGAGTAGTTCGGCTACCTATTGATGACGATGGACGGTATGCAATGCGCTGACAGGCTTATGTCCTAAAAATGAGATCTATTCCAGCGCCCAATCGATTAACATCGATCATGCTCTTTTCTTTTCCTTTCTTTTCCTTTCTTTCTTTTATTATTATTTTTTGTGCTGTTGTTTTGACCCACTGACGAAAACATTCGTTAGAAAGTACCCCGACGACGATGGCATGCAGCACCACGTGGTACTCCGAGACGGCGGCCTTAGATGGAGACCTCGTAGCTCGCCGCTATTATGAACGAATGTCCCACGAACGCCCAAGTATCGTTCTGGGTGAATAAATGAATCATTTTTGATTCAGCGCGACACGTTCATGAGCTGAGCATGCTTCTGCTGAATTTCTCTACCATATATCCTTTTTCCTTGAAAGAAAGAATTTAATCTTATAATCTCTGTATTTATTGAGTTGGTGTTGGGTTTGCCTTAATGCGGGAGGCCAGGCGGTGACGGGTTTACTACGATAATAGACGGGGTTGGAACTTTGAACGCATTGTTTGGTTTGGAGTTTTGTGGAGGAGTTTCTGTTACGCGCCGGCGGATTCCACCGGCTCCCTCGGACTAGTTCTGCATGTTTCCGCTCTTCTTGTTCCATATTGTTGTCTTTTTTACTTTTTGTGTCATTCTCTCCCCGCGGCAATGCTGTACAGTAGTTACTTGATACCCAATTGCCTCGGAGGAGGGTTGACGTAATGCATGTACATACTGGCTTGAGACTCCAGTGGAGCCAATTTATGTGGATTAATTAATCGCCTAGGAGATCCATTTGATTTTCTTTGTATGTACAGTGCTATTAACTGACATAAATGTTGGTGAGGTGATAGTTAGCATCTATCAAATGTTTAACTAGAGCAAACAAACTAGTTTTAAGAAACAAATATTACGATTCTTTAAAGATAGCTGGCTAAAGATATTGTATTGCTATGGTGATAGCGTGCAAGTAATCCCGGAGAGCAAGGCAAGGCATGAGATTGACCCTATCTATCCTCTCCCTCTGGTATTTCTGCCTCTGATCTGATGCCACATTCGTAAAAAGAAGGCAGGAAAACCCTCCCCATAGTTATCAGAACGTTGGGGATTCCACCTATTTCAAAATATGAAAAATAATCCAGCGCTCTCTCGCTCCCTCCACCGTCCGTCAACTGCAATGAAAGTCCCTCTTCACCTATAATCGTAACCTTTGTAATGTAACAAACCCCCACGCGCCGCTCCGTGTCGCCAAACCATCAACTACCAACACTACCAACCATGTGCCGCGGCGATATACCCCGATATGTCTCTTACCCCCACCTCCCCATACCTTTTTCTCCAAATATAATTGTCCATATTTAAACGTCCTTCTGCACACCATCAGCCTCGCCCTTAGTGACTGTCTTGCCTGTTTTCTTAATGGTGGCGAGCACGGTGTCGTATTCAAGCGAAGGTTCAGTGAGGACGGTTGCGGTCTGCGATTCGAGATTGACGGTGTAGGATTTGACGCCTGTGGTTTTTTTTTTTGGGAGGGGGGGTTAGTTCTGGTTCTCTCTTTTTTTTTTTTTTCTTTCTAGTTTTCTAGTTTTCTTCTTGGGTAGGTAGGTATCTTTCGGGGAGGGGATGCAGTATGTATATCTTCTTTGATTGAGGGGAATTGATTGAGAGGAAACCAGCTAGCTACCCCGCAGCGGAAAGCCACACAGAGAGAGACACGGGCTTACCGTCAAGTTTCTTGAGGACGCGCTCGATGGCGCCTGAGCAGCCGCCACAGCTCATGGTGACGTTAAATTTGTACTCGTGTTGTGTGTCGGTCATTGTTGCTTTCGTTTTGCTATCTTTTCTTCTTTGTCTTTTGTCTCTGGAGCGGGTGTCCGTAGTAGTAAGGTAAGAAGAAGAGTCGAGGAAAGATGAACGACAGAGGGGAGGCCAAAGGAAACGTAGGGGTGTTGTTATATTTATATTATACACAGGGATAGTAGTTAAATACTATGGAGGAGGTATCTGCGACACCGAAATTAATTAATCAATCCCCCTCCCTTCCCCCCCGCCGTCCGCCTGGTTAATATTTATCAGGCTTCTTGCCCATGCTTTGTTTGTTTTTCTGAAACATAATTAATTCCCTCTTTCTATTCCGTAATCCGTAATAAATAACTTAAACGTAACTAGGGTTCAGCATCGTTCCAGTGATTCCAATTCGTTTATCCGATAGGCTTCGCCTGCTTCTCTTCTCTCTACCTCTCTCTCTCACACTCACAAGCAACTTATCTCCCTTGGATAAACGAATTGGTAAGCAAAACACGCAAAAACACCGCAATGCCCGCATTAATATCTGAGGAAACACGCAATTATCTCGCAGAGAAGACTGGGGAACATTGTTCGGCCAAAGATCTTCCAACTAAATACCAAATATAAGCTGGTTATATTAGTCAGGCGGCCGAAATCACGTCATAGAAGCTCTCGGGTTGGTGGTATATATAAGGACAGTTGTTTGGCTGGTCAACCAGTTCTATATGCCTATAGTGAGAGAATATGGACAATATCAATGGTACAGTGCAAAGAATCACATAGAGATTTGTATGTGTAACTCAGATATATTAAAAATGAATTATTGACTCTTAGAATGGCAGAATGACCAGCTGGCTATATATATACAACTTCTCTACTATGGAGAAATTCTCTAGATTGGTAGCGCTGCATGCAGCAGTGCTGTGGTTGTCAGTGATTGTAGATTTTTTTTGAAGTTATTATCCCAATAACTTTAAATTATTCAAATCCCAGGAGCTTGGACCAACTGGTAGGTAGTTAATATGTAAGTTAACTACTGTACATACACGCATACAACTCCAAGTGCTTTGCAAAATTCACTTCACACTTCAACATAATTCAATTTATTTCTAATCACTCTGTATATATGACCAAATTGAAATTTCAATATTTGTCATTATTGACCTGACATTTTCACCACTGACTGACTGTCTATCTGTCTTTGAGTGAGGAGTTGGCCAAATTTGTTTGATCATTGTCATGTCAAGTCAAACAAACTCTACCAGGTTCTTCATCCTGCCAGGTCTTTTCAGCTCGCACCTCTTTCTTTCTGACTAGGAGGGAACAAGGGGAAAAAGCGAAATAAAAGAGAGAATGCATCATCTTGAAATGGAAGAGACACACTCAAGGCAAGATAAGAAGAAAGCACATTTGGAAAACAACACCCAGTCCACAATGCGAGAGTCGGGAAGGGGAAAAGGCCGTCAATTTAAAATAAATATATAAAGAAAAAAAAGAAAAAGAAAAAGCGACAAGTAACCCACAACAACAAGCGCCGCCGTGTTACCTTACTCTCTCCTCCTCCTCCCCCTGCTCCTCATCCTTCCACTCAGCGCAACACAACGGACACGTTACCACACAACGGCTTTGCCCTAGGCCACCTCTCAAGCACTGAGCCTCCCACCTGCTGAAACACGCCTTGTGCAGGTTTCCGCCACACTGCGCTTTGCACCAGACAAGTCCCCGCTGGCTAGTAATAGAACTGTCAACACCGTCGGTGTCTTCCCTGACCTCGACATACGGTTCCATGCAGATACCGCATTCTGCGTCGATGGTTTGCGGGTGACGGGTCATGGCCCATGGGCCCAGGGCACCGCTTGAATATTATAGATTTGAAATATTATCAATATAATTTATATTTTTTTTAAGTAATAGTAATAATTTCATAATATTTAATAAATAAATAAATCAGTCACATTATTAAATATAATACAGAATATTCAATTCAATTCAATTCAATTATATACTGTGAGTTTTAAAGAGTATACAGAGCTGTTATACTATTACGTACAAAGTTTTCTTGCTTTTTTATATCTATATCATCTTAAGTCTTTGATGACAGTCAGAGATGAAGCATTTAAACTATATATTCAAAGTAAAATTATCTGTTAGATGAAACTGAGACAGAATATATTATTTAAGTTATTACTTTGATAAAATGTAAACTTCTTAAGCAGTTCTTAATATGTAAGAATAAGTACTTGCAGGTGATTATTTAGAGATTGACAGCTTAATGTAATATATACTAATAATTACTAAAAGTATTCACAGTAAAAAAATAAATGTAAAAATTAAATATACAATAGTATTTAAATTAAGTTATAAATAATAATTATAAACTTCAGTCTATATAATTGTATATAATTAAGAACTGTTAATTTTATCAATTATATAAGAAATTGAAATAAAGATAAAAAATCTGTAAAAAGTGAGATTTTTTATACATTTTTCTCTTTTTAAAACTTTATCTGTGAAAGTTTTTTATTAAATAATTTTATAAAATCAGACTTAGTATTATAAGAGTACTTATTAAAAACTCTTTATATTTATAAAAATTTTAATAAGAAAAAATTCTTTATTACTATAAAGAGAAAAAAAATCTATTATTTAATTCTTTATTATAAGATTTTATTAATTTATTTTAAAAATTAATTTTAGTTTATTAGATTATCTTTAAAAATCTAACCTAGTTACTGAACTAGTATGAAAAAAATCAGGTGTTTTATATATAAAAGCCTTTCATTCTTTCTTTGAAATAGTTTGATCAACTTTTCATTGAGTAAGTAAAATAAGTTTAAAAATACACATAGTTAATGTAGAAAAGGTTGCTTTCTCAGATGCTATTTCTAAGATTAAAATTCTGAAGAGAAGAAAGAAAGAAAAAATAGAGAAATAACAAGTTCTTGAAATATAAGAACTTGAAAAAGTCAGTAAAATTCTTGAAAAACAGTGTCTAATTGAGATGAATGAAGAAGTTCTGTTAATTCTTCATACTCAGACTAAATAACTATAGAAGATGATTAAGTTCAAACTTGAAATTTCAAATACAGTTAAAAAAATATTGAAAATTCTGAGTATAATCACTGACTCTTCTTCTTCTTTTTCTTCTTTAAATCAGAAAAAAACATATACTCAAGCAGCAGAATCTGCTGTTTCTAAATCTATTATTTTAAAACCTGCTTGAAATTCTGAAAATACTCAGAAGAAAAATGCTCATACTTCTCTTCATAAGAAAGAAGAGAAGAAAATATAAAAAGAGAAAAACTTTCAAATCTTCAGAAATAGAAGACTTATTCTCAAAGTCTTAAATAGAGAGATTCTGCAGAAGAACAAGCTGAACTTAAATCTTATTTTTAAAATTATAAATGAAATTAATCAGCAGTTCTTTTCTCAGTTAATAAGTGATATTAAAGTTTAAAAATTAGTTATAGCTTGAATTAAGTTATCTTTCTTTGAAATTTCTATTGTTCTAACTATAATATCTGAATTCAGTGTGAAATTCTTTATTAAGAATGAGAATATCTGAAAATTAGTAATAGAATCTCTATTAAAAAAAATAATTCTATCTGAAAGAGATGAAAAGTAAAACAAATTCATTCTTTATAATATTTCAGTTGAAATTTTCAACTGTGAGAAAGAAATACTACTTCTTAAAAATAAGTTAGAAGAATACAATTCTATTCAACTGAGAAAGAAGTATGTATAACTGAATTCAATTAAATTGTAATATAGCGGAACTGAAATAGTGACTAGTCAGCAGTGTCATGTAGAAGTAGTTGTTTGAGAAGCTGTATAAATGAGCTTAACTATCTTGCTTAAATAGTGAGCTCATAGGCTACAAGGTTATTGTGAGAATATCACAGATATGATACTTAGTATACTAAGAAGATTGTATGAGACATGCAGTAACTCTTGTATATATTTCAGTAGAAGAAAAATAAATCACTGACTTCTTTAATGAGAAGTCAGTATCTAGCTATTCTATATAGATAATGAGTGAATACTCTTCTCTCATTTCATGAGCAAGAATAGCTGAAGTAATATCTCAGCAGCATCTCATTGTCAAGAAAGAGTAATCTGCTGATCTTGTATAAAAGTAAGATTCTCATATTCATCAATCAGATCTTTCTATGATATATCTGAATAATATTATAGAGTGATTGAAAACCAGTTCAGATAGAATGAAATTATCTACATGAAAGTGATGAGCTGTGTGAAACTGTAACAGAGTCTTGATACAGCTGAGAGTGTGATAATACTCTTCTCTTTAAGAGTATAGTCTCTATGTTCTCAAGATTATCAGATTAGGAATTATCTTTATTATATAGCAATGATTATCAATCAATTGACAGTGTATGTGCTGCATGTGATATAAAGAAATAGATGAGTTTTTCTGCTGACTGTGTAGGTCTTTCTTTTCTCACTATCATTCAAATCAAACATGTGATAAGTGGGTTTCTTATATATCAATTTGAAATGTGAAAAATGTAGTTAATAAGTGACTTGCAGATCTCTCAATATATTTCATTCTATATATGAAATTCCCTGCAAAAGTGATATGTTTTAAAGACAAAGCTAATAGTAGTGACAGGATTTTTTGAAAAGATTCTTTCTCTGTGAAACATTTTTCTTCTCTCTCTCTCAATCATAATAGTGAGTGCATGAGAGTATCATTCTTGAAGAATAATCAAGAACTTATTCTGACATTTTCTAGTGAGTAACAAACATCTTTGTAGTGCAGCAGCGGCCTTCATGGCCGCCAAGAAAGCCAGGTTGAAGGTGAAGACAGTGATATCAATGAGCTGTGAGAGTACTACTTTCATTGTCACATCTCCTTCTTCTCCTGCTTCTTTTACAGTCATGGTGATAGTCACTGTACCTTGCAGTGAAGTGTCATTCCTTCTGCCAGTCAGTTCATTCATGTCTGATTCATCTCTTACCCCTCTCACTGCTGTTGCAACACTGCTCTCTCCCCCCGATTAATACAGTGATGTATGACTCTGTGTGATCATTCAGAGAGGAACCTGAAAAGAGCTTGATTCTGAAAACAGTGACTCTGAGAAGCTTAATCTGTAGTTTCTCTTTCACAGCACATCTGAGCTCTGCTCAGAATACTGCTGAGTTGAGTCTGCAGAGTTCTGCAGTTTCTTCATCTTCTCTCTGTGAGAAGGCTCTAATACAGTCTCTGACTGATATCACTACTTGTCTGTGCTGCATCAAGCAGCTGAAGAAGAAGGGGATTTTATATATCTATCTCTTCTCTCACTTCTGTTATTTCTGTTATATCTGCAACAATAACTTCTATCTCTCTGTAAGTATTATCTCACAGAAAGACATCATATCAGTTCTGATAAGAAGTTTAGATATCTAAGCAGTACAGAGTGAGAGTCTCAGAGCTTTAAGTATTGATAAATTCTGTCAAGACTGAAGAGATCTCTCTTACTCATCTGTAAAAGAAGATGAAAGTATGAATCTCTGAGATGAAAAAATATCTCAGAATGACTAATCTTAAGAAGAGATCAGTCAGTGCTGCTGTTAAAAGTATTATAGAGATTAATCACTGATTAGAGAGAATCTCACTTCAGTTAAAGCAGATGACTGAGATACTTTATAAGTTAATAAGTTAATACTTTCAGTATCTCTTATACTCTTCTATAGCATGCTTCTCTACAGTACTACAGCACTAACTTCTCAACAGATAAAGATATCAGTATCAGAGACTTCAATAGTGAAGAATGAGTTTGATGAGAGTGTAGTTATTAATGAGTAAGCTCTGGTCTCTCTTTTTACTTTTTCAGCAGACTGCAGCTCTATTAGAATAGCAGCAGTCTGCAGATTAATAATATTAATCTTTTTATTAATTTTTAATATTTCTTTTCTCTAATCACTTCAGAAATTTTACACTTGTATAGTCTTATTAAACTTCTAAAAATTCTTTAAGAGAAAATAGAAGAAGAGTGTTACAGAGTTTATAAGATATTAGCTCATCACTGTAAAATTATCTTTAAAAAAACTCTTTAGAAAAAATGAGAAGTTTTAAGTGATATTTCTTATTTAATATCTCTGACATGTAATAGAACAGTCTCTACTAGCTGTTTTATAGATTACAATCTCTTTCTCAGTATTTTTCAAATACTTAAGTGATTCTCATGAATTCTCTAATAATGAATAATCTTCTTATTTAACAAGATATTGAAGCTTGCTGTAATATATTCACTTATTCAATATTTTCTTCATAAGATATTCAGTATCACTCTTAATCTTAATATTATCTGACTGAGATAGCTCTGCTCTGAGATGTTACTTATAGAGCTTCAAATAGAAAATATGAAAAATAGAATGAATTGATTTCAATTCTGTGAATAATTTTAACTCATATGTCTGCTTACTCATCACTCTTATTATCAGAAAAGATTCTAGTCATCACTCACTGAGCTTCTTATACAGTCTTATTATCTTGATATTCTTTACTAAAAGTAGTACTTGATTCTCTATTAAGAACTTTATTGAAAGATGTTTTCAATTATAGTATTTTATCTATCACTTCTGAGTATGATGAATACTTTTCATCATCTTCTTATAAATTTTGTTTAAAAGTTTCAATCTCACTTTTACTTCTAACACTGAGAGATACTCTGTTCTTTGTATCTGTCTGACATTCTGACTGTCTATCTCTCTCTTTGAAATGTTGTCTATGATGTCACTGAGTAATGAAGAATTATATTTATAATAAGTATAGAAAGAAGATATCTTTAAGATTATATTCTTTACATTGTTATATATGAATTCAGTGATTAGAAGATGTTTGA